AGGTGATGAATGTTAACCAAACTTATTGTGGAAGTCACTTTGCAATGTAAACACATACCAGATCATCAGGCTGTACACTTAAACTACTACAGTATTACGTGTCAATTATATCTCAGTGAAACTGGGCAAAAAACCAAAACTATCTCATTTAAAGGATTATCCTTTATTATATGTTTTTGACATTAAGGCTTTTTATTGCTGTGAAGTAATAGTGAGAGTAGATGATCACTGCTTCTTTTTAGTTTGTGAAAATAAATTTTGTAGTTGTCAAAATAAAAACTGAAAATGTAACCACTATTTTAAACTCTAAACCATTTTTGCCATGTAAAATTATTAGGTACCTTTAGACAGGAATTGGAAACTTCCAATAGTTGAGATAAGAAAGGTTTCTAGATTTCTTTCCCCAAATCTTGACCACCAAAAAGGTCCCCCTGTGCCAGCCCTTTATAGTGACCCCATCCTCACCGTACTGAACCCCTTGCAAAATCAACCTGCTCTCTTTTTTATAATTTTGAGAATGCAATATATGTGGAATAATACAGTACGTGACATTTTGAGATTGTTTTTGTTCAACACAATGCCTTCGAGAAACCTACAAGTTGTTGCACATGTAAATAATTCATTCCTTTTTGTTGTTGAGCATTTCCTTATACAGATGCCCACAGTTTGTGAAACTATTCACTTACTATTGGATATTACGGTTGTTCCAGGTTTCTGCTATTACAGAGGGAACTGCTATGAACATTCGTGCACAGGGTTTTATGTGGACATAAGTTTATTTCTCTGAGATAAATGCCTGACAGTGTAATTGCTGGGTCATATCACTCACTTCCTCTCCTAAAGAGGTCAGGATAGGATTCCTTTTGTTGGATGCAGGCACCTAAAGTTCTGAGGTCCACGTTGCACTTGCATTTGGGCTAAGTTTTACCAGGTCCATCAATAAAGAGTTAGAATAAGGAGTCATTTCAGGGGGGAGACCTGGCTCCCTCTAACACTGAGCCCAGGTGAACCCACATCCCAGGGTCTTGGACTTGGGAGCTTGGGACACAGCCCAGAACCACAGACCCTTCTTGGCCTAGGCTTCCAAATAGGGTGTCCCCATGAAGACCTCAGATGGGGTGGTGGCCCAGTAGAGAGCAGAGGCCCCAGGCAGAGAGGAAGCAATATTTCCTGTGGGCCTGTGCAAGTCTCTCTGAAACCACTAAGATGAGTAACTCCTCCCAATGCAGCTACCTTCACTACCTGGTTCTATTTCACAATCTAGAAGCAGGAACTGTCCAAATCTAGGATCAGGCGACTGTTTCATAGCCATTTCAGCCCATCCTGGCCCTTCCTCTTACATCACAGGAGGCAGGGCTTCACTCCTCTCACAGAGCAGAGAGTCTGGGTTCTCCCAGCCCACATTTGACAGAACTGCCTGCTCAGGCCTCCAGGATGACAATCCTTGCCTCCTGGCCCCGCCCTCCTCCTTGTCTGCTGCTGACTCTACTGCTGGGACTCACAGGTGAGCACTCCTTGGGTTAGAATTCCCTCTCCCTGCCCCTGGACCACCTCCTGCCCCTGGACCACCTCCTCCCCCTGGAATTTTAGAGCCTCCAGGAAAACAGGGGTGTGTCATTTGGGGCTGCCACAGAAAGCCAAGGACTAGGCATTATCTGAGAGCATGAAATCGGGGATGTGAGCATTGTCTCCATGACCTGCACTGGTTACCAGAAGCATCAAAACAGATGATGTTTCAAACCACAACAGCAACAACTTTGTGTGGACTGACTTATCTAATCCCCACAACATCCCTGTGTGATATTTATGTCTCTTATCCCCAATTTACAGATGGGGAAACAGAGGCAGAGAGGGTAACTTGTCTAATGTTGCCTATGTAAGGTAGTGGTTCAGCCAGGATTCAAGCCCAGGCTGACCAGCTCCAGGGTTTGTTTTTTAACTATGATATGCTGCTGGACTTCTCAGTGGAGAGTGAGTGTAGAAAAACCAGAAAACACAGATAAGAAAATAAAAGAATTTCCACCACCCATCAGGCCACTCAAAGACAACAGAATTGAAATTGTGCTGTGTGTACATGTTCACTTTTTATTAATGACTCATTGGATGGTTCCTATGTATCATTGTTTTTACTGAGCATTTAGTATGTATTATAATTTCATGTAATCCTTAAAACAATATGCATGCTAGCATGCTAGGATACAGCTTTACATATATTTGTCAATGCATGTATTTATGTTGTGTAAGTCTGAGTGTAGTGACTGTGAATAAGTGCGTGCGCGCGCGCGCGCGCGCACACACACACACACACACACATGGTATTTGAAAAGGCATTCCTATTGTTCTCTTTAAATCATTTTTCAGTCCAAATGAAATGCACAAAGACATATGTTTAGTTCCCTGTTTTCAGCCAACTTCCCTCTTTCTTACTTGTGTAATTTTACCCCTACCCTCCCTCAGACTGTTAAGACAAGCAAGCTTTGCTCTTGGTAAAATGAGCAGAATTCTGTGCATTACTATCTTGGAACCCCTCTTTCATGGGGGATAAAGATGAGGAGGAAAGGAGATAAAAGATACAGGGACTACTGCATGTATGATCTATATCTGTAGTTATATCAATATTCATGTTCATTTCTATATCCATATCTATATTATCTAATGTCAGTTAAAACCTCAAGGCTCCAAAAAGTATAATGAGAAATAACTATTCAATTTCTTGAATCTCATCATGTACAGACATTGGAAATGCCCAGGGCCGTTATCTCATATGACCACTGTAACCCAGGTAGACCCTCTTGTCACTCCCACCTACAGAAAAAAACACAGAAGCACAGAGAGCTTCAGGGTCACTCCATGGTAAATGGCAGAGGTAGGATTTGAACTCATGGACTCTCTGATCCTACAGCTCAGGGGTTGAACAATTACCCCATTTCCAACCCATGTGATTTCTGCTGCTTTTGCCAATGGATGCGAGGAAGGTGGGTGTGGGGAGAGTGTTTGTGGTTTTCTGCTCCTGGGCTCTTCTGCTTCCTGTGTCTACACAAGGTGTTTGTTCTTCACAAAGTCATCTGGGTGGGAAACTCAGTTTCTCACATAATTCCTACAGATTTGCCCATTTAAAATAGGCTTCAGGATCTCAGGGAGGTGTCACCCTGGGAAATTCACACCATACAAATACTTATTGGATACCTACTGTGTGCCAGGAACTGTTATAGGAACTCGGGGTGCATTGGTGAATAAAAGAGACAAAGTAGCTGCCCTCATGGAGCCCAGGTTCTACGGGGAAATGAGAGTGAACAATGGACTTAATAAATAAATAAATAAATAATACAGTATATTGGAAATGATGAGTGTTAAGGGAAACATTTAGGTATCGCTGGGTAAGAAAATTGGGGGCATCTGTAAGGTGGGATGTGTTTTGAACAGAGTAGTCCAGGTGAGCATCACTGAGAAGGGAAGTTTCACCAAAGATTAAAAGAAGGTTGGGAGTGAGCCATGGGGTTTCCTGGGGGAAGAGCCTTCCTGACAGTGAGCAGCATGTGCAAAGGTCCTGAGACTAGAATCTTCCTTCTCTCTTCAGGAATTGAAGCTTTTGCTCTGAGTGAAAAGGTTGCCATTACAAGGTTTTGAGAAAGATTTGACATGAGCTGACATGAATTTTAAATTATTATAGCATTCGGTTGAGAACAGATCACCACAGGACATAGAGAGAAGCAACCGCAGCATTTAGAGGCCATTGCATTTTTCATGCAAACTACGAAAAGTGCCCTGCACCTGGACAGCAGTACAGACAGGGGTAAGAGGGAGATTTTGGATGAAGGCTGAAGGGGTGGCAACAGGCTTTCCTAATGCATAGGGTTGGGATGGGAGAGCAAGACTCCAGGTGTTCGGGACCTGAGCACCTGGAGGAATGAAGGTGGCTCAGCTGAGATACAGAGGGCTGTGGGGCAATCCAGGAATTCAGTTTTGCACATGTAAACTCTGAGATTCTGATATCCATACAAAGACAAATGTGAGTGGACAATTGGACATAGAAGTCCAGAGTTCAGGGGGAAACACTGGGCCCCAGATGTAAATATGAGAATTACAGATGCACAGGTGGCAGAGTGTTAGCAATTTCCTGCTCGTTTCAACCCTCTGATCTCTCTTCTCTCTTCCTTCTCTTCTTCCTCCAAGATTCATTCATATTTCTTCTTCTTTTTGTCTCAGCAATTCAGCTTCCCCACCATTTATTTCCTTCTCAAGACTTAAAACCCAAACGCCTTGATATTCTTTGTCATTAAAGGTCCTGCCCTCTGACAGCATGTGGCCTCCTGAGTGGCACCTGTAGTTACAAACAGTGTTAAGTGGTGGGCTTCACCAGCTCGCACTCTGCAAAGAAGAACCACACATTTTCTTTCTGAGGAGAAGCTAAGAAATAGAAAAGAACACAGGATTTATATGTGGTGCCTCAGTTGCCTCATCCTCTGATTTACGTATTTTGTTCTTTTGTTGCCTGTGCTTTTGGTGTCACAGGCAAGAAATAATGCCAAATATAAACTCATGAGAGTTTCACCTATGCTTTTTTTCTAAGCATTTTATAGTTTCAGCTCTTATATTTAGGCCTTTGATCATGTAGAGTTTATTTTTGTATAAATGGAAGACAAGGGTTCAGCTTCATTTTTTTGTATATGGCTATTTCTGCATTGTGTGTTGAAACACTGTCTTATGGACTTGATATCTTTTCTGAAAACCATTGACCATATATATGTGAGTGTTTCTTTCTAGATTTTCTATTCTATTTCATTGGAATAGAATATATATGTATATAATTTATACATATGTATTTTGATTATATATATAAGTCTGCTTAATTTTTGGGGGGGGTTATTCATCACCAGTATATACAAATGTAACTGAGCTCATATATATATATATATATATATATATATATATATATATACACACACACACACACACACACACACACACATACGTATGTATACTGTAGTGAAGGAACATACTACTTGGATTACCGTAGCTTTGTAGTAATTTTTTAAATCTGGAATTGTGAGTCCCCCAACTATATTCTTCATTTTCAGTATTGTTTTATTGTTGGGGTACCTTTGTTTTTCACATGAATGTCAAAATTGCTTTTTCTATTACTTCAAAAAATTCCACGGGAATTTTGATAGGGATGTTATTGAATCTGTAATTGCTATAGATACAATTGGCATCTTAGGTTACAAATTCTCCCTTACTTTTTGTGGAACTACAACAAGATGTATTTCCATTTATTGATGTCCTTTAAACTTTTCAGCAATGTTTTATGCTTTTCAGTGTATGCGGCTTTCATCTCTAAGGTTAAATTTATTTCTAAGCAAGTCATTATAAATGGAATTGTTTGCTTAATTTTGTTTTTGGGTTATTTGTCACCAGTGCATAGAAATGTTACTGAATTTTTCTTTTTATATGAATGTTCATAGAACTTTATTTGTAGTAGGCCCAAACTGGAAACAACACAAATGTGCATCAGCTGGTGAATGTAGAAATGGCGGTTTAATCTCTACAATGGAATACTACACAGCTGGAAAAAGCCATGAACTGCTGAAACATTCCGCATCGTGGATGATTCTCACAAAAGTTATTTTGAGGAAAAGAAGCCAGGCCCCCTCCTCAAAATTGCCTACTCTGTAATTCCATTTATATAAAATTCTACAAAATGCAAACGAATCTATAGTAATGACAGGAAATACAGAAGTATATGAGGAAACTTTTCAGATTGGTGGATGTGTTCATTATATTTTCTTGATTGTGGTGATAGTTACATGGGCATATACATATGGGCAAACTTAGGAAATTGTATGCTTTAAATATGTGAAGATTACTGTCTATCAATTATACCTCAATAAAACTATTTAAAAAATAAAGAAACATTGCTTTCCTTCAATTGTTG